GTGTGTGTGTGTGTGTGTGTGTGTGTGTGTGTGTGTGTGTGTGTGTGCGCGCGCGTGTGTGTGTATGATAAGTAGTTGATAAAATGTTTCGATTTTCAAGAATAGAAGATGGTAATAATAAATGGTTAATTGTTTTAATAATATTTTTTTCAAAAATAAGTTAAGAATACATAACTATTCAATAAATTTTTAATAATAGAGTCATATAATATTTATGATTATTAATTGAAAACAATTACGAGTATTATACAAATTTTACAAGATAAAACTTTGATTTTTTTCTCCTTCGTCGCATATATTACTTTATTATTATTGTTATTATAAACTTAAGTCTATTCTGTAACAACTCTCTTAAGTGATACATAAAAATTATTTTTTATAACGTGAATGAAAAGATTCGTTGGAATATGAATTTGTACTTCGAATTTAAGTTTCAGAATTTTATACTTGAAATTCCTGTAAATGAAAGATGAATTACATTATCATAAAAATGAATATCAAAAATATTAATGAATTTAGTATACGGTCCAATGGCGTTTTTATAAAAAGAACGGAAAAAGTTGCAGCTTTTTAAAAATGTTTGTAATACAATTGTATATTATATAATATAATTAATGCATATTCAACAAACATAGTTCATAGTCACACATTACATATGTATAAATGGTATAGTATACTTATAAACTAATTAAAATTTAAAAGTTTAAAAGTTAAATGATTACGTTTAGGTAATAGGTACATTTCTATATTAATTATATTATAATTTGTTGCTTTCATAAATGTGGTTAAAATTATCTTTCCAGTTTTAATTATCTCTTAAAACAAAATAAAATCGTTAATATTAATGCGTAATCATTTTTAAAATATAGTACCTTATTTAAAATATATAATTTTTTTTTTGTCAATAATATGTATATCATAAGAATCTATCACGTAAACCAACCATTGTTTCTGTAAACTAAACATATTGTTGTAGACAATGTGTATTGTGTTGTATCACTCGTTCCTGGAAATTATCGATTGAACTACGCGAGTTTTCGAGCAAATATGATTTGTTCGCCTGAAGTGTCATTGTATAATAGGTACCTACCTAATATTCACTATCATCAGGCGGCGGCTGATGACCTCGGCTTGCTAGCAATCAATTAACATAAGTAGTTCGCGTTTTATTGGCAGAATATGGTGGTGGCAGCTGTTCGGTCCACCTCCATTTTTGCGGTTTTAAACGTTAATATGCTAAATTATAACCTCAGTAAATCGTCACAGAACCTAAAAAGTTTGCACGCATATAGCACCGCGTGGTATACCGATATAGATGTATTTATAGTTTATTCCTGTCGCAGTATTTGAGGGAAAACTATTTCGAAATCATCAAACTACACCATAGAATTATAATGCTCTTATGTACTATAGTACAATAATAGAATTATAATATTATGATTTTATCGGTCGTGTAAAATCCATAAAAATATTTAAAACTAATACGCCTTCAATTCGTTTGTTTGATAAAGACGTCTTCGAATTCAAAAACGTAATTTATATCGTAGTTTGACGTACACCCTATTCACTATACAAGTCACGAAATACACACTTACATAGACGCGTCAATAATATCTACATTGTGTATAAATTTATAATGTATATACTTAATTACTATGTATAATGATGAATTTAACTTGATATTTTAGACCTTGTTTTTATTTATTTTTTTTTTTTCAAACACATTATATTATATGTCTATACAATACTCGTATTCTCCGTACGCACTGTACACATCAAAATGTACAATACATCATGTATGTATTATAGATATTAAATTATTATTTATTATATTGCTGTCATATTAAATATTAGAGTACATTCTCTACCTATATTGATAATTCGGTAAGAATTCATAAACCACCTGTTATGTATGCTTTATAACAATGTTCAAGGTCCGTTTTTAAAAGAAACAATGAGACGAAGGTCACTATATTTATACAAAAAAAAATATTGATAAACTTCGTTTAAATGTTTTACATTTAAATTATTAACTAAGTAGTTACAAGAAAAAAAAATTGCAGAAAATGTTTATATTCATTCGTTGATTTTGATTAAAGTGCACTTTATCATTCCACTCATCGCTCATATAGGCGTAGATAGAATACAATACATATGACTACTAGTTAGTAGTTGCGTTCGAATTAGCGTAGTTTTGCGAGGTTTTACAAGGCCCTGGGCATCATTAGAATTCGAAGTCCTTGGACTTACAGTATAATATTAAAATCCATAAGCACACTAGAATAGCGGCTTTCAATTTTTTCATAGGTACTCGAGTACCACCTGCCTATTACGAAAATGTCTACGTATTTGATCTAATGACCTCTTGTTATCAACAAATGTATACGTTTTTCACATGTAAAAGGTTAGAAGGGAGTACTTATCTAAATAGCTACGAGATTTAACACTTAATTACAGTTTATTAATAATATCAGTATACCTATCAGCTATTCAAAAATTAATAAGGTTGTTTGTTATGTTATTCTAAGAATAATCGGTTTGTTGTAAAAACATTTTTTTTTTTTTTTATTACTTTGCAAACATTGATATTATCTGAAACATATTTAAACTCTAAGTTATTGCTAAAATGTTTGGAAATATTTTTATTTAAAAAATATAATATTACTCGTATATAATTATTTATATGTGAAGCCTTGGGCGAGTACTCCGTTTGCTCTGTACTTGGGACGGCTCTGATTCAAATATACCAACAATTCGAGCTGGTATGAGGTATAATGTTTAAGTACCTACAACATAAATCAACATGCTTAGTTCTAAAATATCCATTATAGTTTTACCTAGTAAATACTACGTCATAAGTCGTACTGCTTTCCGACGAGTATCCCATAATATATGAATACAATTAAAACATATTAATATACACTGTAAAATTTGTTAGTTGTTACATACTTTATATATAATACACAATAAACACATCTGAATTATTACGAATATACTAAAATGACACACGGCAGTTAGTTCGATATAAACCATCAACACAAGCGAACTCAACAATACAGTTATTAACAGCCATCTTCCACTTAGTAACGACGTAACGTATAATTGTTTTAACTTTTAAATACAATAATTATTATAGGTATAAAAATCAAACATGTCAAACCTCTAATATAGTGTTCTAACACCCCGCTACGAAAATATTTATCCATAAAGATTAGAAAACCATCTCTGGATAACTAATATTGTAATAATAGGTTCCCTGATCACGTTACAATAAATATTATTCAAAACCACGAAATTTTGTCGAAATTCTCTGAGTTCTATTAGTCATTTATTGAACTTTTTAAGCCTATCGATCATACTTGTACTGCTGGAGCAGTAAGGTAAAAAATATATAATAGATAATATTTTGTATTTTGTTCCAAATAAATATCTACGCACGTAGCAACGAACATAATAATAAGGTGTTTTATCTTTTATTTGTGTTTGTGAATTGTATTCCGTCCAAATACCTCAGAATTAAGGTCCAATAATCACATCAGAAACTATAGTTGTGCCTGTAAAGAATAATGTTTCAGACGAAATTCCAAGAGCCATTATTCACCGCCTACTATAGCGTCGGTAGTCATCCGCTGGATAATTGGGCAGTTCAGGTGCGTACATAGATCCGTCCGATAAAACTGCACACATTTTATATTATACGAATCGTTTACTAAGTAAAATGCAATAGATAGTTAGTTCAAATTAAATATATTTAATCACGCGCATATTATATAAAAAAAGTGGATTTCAAAGGAAAAACATGTTTGTTAAGTATAATCCGATAAACTATAATGAAATATTAACTAAACGGTGAAATTTATAAAATTTCACAACAACTTTACTATAATAATAATATATAGGTATAGTTACATTAATATACACACTGAAGGTCTGGATCGCATATTATCAATAGATTAACATCCTTCTTAAGTGTATAGAATTATTTTTAATTTATTACAGAAAGTACTTTGTACTTTTGTACTTGTATATTTTTCTTTAAATAATGATAATAATAAAAAATTTAAAACGAAATAAGTATAATTTGTTTTAAAATTATGTCAGCATATTGTTTGTTTTATTTTTTTGGTCCACACGCATTATTGAAAATAACCTAATGCATTCACTCAAACATTTTTTTTTTTATGTTTTTAAGCTATCTTAAAGTAAAATAATTTATAATAAAAACTATAGAGAATAATATTTTTGAGTGTATGATATATTGCAGGCGTGTATCCATAAAACTTTTATAGGGATGGGGTCAAACACACTTATTAATGTTTATCTACTTATATAACGTATGTATGTATAATATAGTCGATTCACGATAATTCGAAGTGGGCGGGACTTTTGAAAAATTTCGAATTTCCTAGAAGTTGGAAGTATTGAGGGAGCAAAAAGAAAATTCGAATTACTGAGAGTTAAGCAAAATTTAAAACCGATATGTCAAATCCTTAAAAATATTATCCTATATAGTATTTGTAATAGGTAGTTTCATTCTTATATTATAAAAAAACCACAAAAAAAAATATTATATTATCTAGGTTTGTAAACGCGTGTGGGTGTAAGAGAGAGATATCAAATATTGCGCTACATTTTTTAATAACCTAACTTGATCATTGTTTCGTATAATCTGTACACTCGTTACATTTGGATATTTTAGTGCAAAGAAGGAGAAATGCAACATGTCTTAGACGACGTAATGAAGTCTAATGTGCTCCAAATACAGTCGCCAAACGTGAACGCCTGTTATATAACCTGTCCGTTGAATTCCAAAGGTTCTTTGGGTGTTCGGTTGCCGTTTGTAACGTTGATGGTGAAAAACCTCAATCAATTTTTTACATTTGAAATCACGGTATTTAAATGAATATTATTATTTTTTTATTGTCACGTCCAATAACCCTTGACTAGAATTTAATATGTCATAAATATTATTATTGTAGCATAATATGTGCATCCCATCACAGATTAATATATATTTTATTAAATTTAACTATACATAAGGTTTACATTAAACAGTTTTATAAAATGCAAACAATTCCCAATAATATTTAAAAAGCCAAAATTAACTTTAAAATTGAATCTAAGACTTGCCACGGAAATGGAAAATCTTTTAAAAATTTTATTTCCAATAATAATGTACTTCGACTGACAAACGTTGCGTTTGTTTTCTATACCGTTTAACGCCCCTCCTCGTTATCATCGTTGTTACGCCTAAACAGATTTTGGACAACGAAAACATTCGCCGACGTTTGCGTGTGAGCAACTACCATACGTCCAAAAAGCTGAGCATGTTCATATATACGATGCCGATTTGTATGAGCGAGGGTTGGAACCAACTGAACTTAAATTTGGCAGATATCGTAAGGCACTCATTCAAGACGACTTACGTGGAGACGGTTCGCGTACAACTGCACGCAAACTGTCGTTTGAGGAGGATTTATTTTAGTGACCAGCCGTACAAGGACGATCAGCTGCCGAACGTTTACAGGATGTACGGGACCAAGAACGTGCGAGAAAAACCGAAAAGCACGCAGAAGAAAAAAACGGCAGCCGTCAACAAGAAATCAATAGGCGATTAGCTGTAGGGTATGTAGATCATAAATTGAATATCATCGTACGAATGAACGTCCGACCGTGTCGAAAATGCCTTGTTCGTATCTGCGACTACGACGGATGCTTGCATTGATATTATTTAGTATTGTGTTTCAAACAAACGCTAATTGTTATTTTATCATAATAATAATAATGTATAAATAAATGAATAAATTATAACGTAATATTGTGTCTGCAACACCTTACGAGTTCTACAGTTAACGCCCTTAACGGTATTGCACTATTGCATACCTAATGCATGCTCATCGTGTAAACATGTATGTATATATTTACACCGTTTGCCTGGTTTTTCGGTGTTTTATTTTAAGACCAAGTGTTTGGGACCACCAGCATCAAACATGGCGTCTGATACGACCGTCGTGACCCATCGGACGTGTTCATATTTTTCATAATAATATTATTTTATTTACAACGTTGACTCGTTGACTGTCGTCAGTCACGTAAGTAACACTTGCTCGCCGTTCGCATTTCGTCAGTCGTTCGTTCGGCTTCGGCGCTCCTCGTTCGTATTATCATAATAGCGTTAAAGTTTAATAATCTAGCCTCGACTGCTTTGCAATCACGAATTCGCAAATAACAACAATATCGATCTGACCGTTTCTACTCCATTTCGTCACCGCGCAGCTGGCGCATCTCGCCTAAGTTTTATGACAGTTCGCCGTTCGCTCAGTGCCCGGGCGTGCGCGGATCTCGCATCTCATCTTGTTGCGTTGATTCGACCCTGCAATGACTATCGTGATGTTAATGTATATTGCGCGATCAGTCACGTCGATCGGTTGCAGAACTTCTCGGCGGATTTTCGACTGGTGCTTATTAGATGCGGTATAAACACACAACTGTGTACGACCAACGCAAAACAAAATAGTTTAATTGGCGCACGTCGTATGAGCCGCACAATAGACTGCACTACAAGACTGAATATTATCGCTTATAAGACTGACTGAAAAACCATTTGTACAAGTATGTTGATCTGCTATATTATATTTATGTGTAAAATAAGTCTTGTTGGTTGTAAATCTTGTGAATACTGAATGTTGACAGTGTTCGCTTTGTATTAACTACTGATCAATTTTGATGTATATTACCTATACTGGCTATACCTAGGGTACTATGTGTAATTTCATGTTTTTTCAGAAACTTGTTTATGTCTGTCCTTAATTAAGTATAAAATAACAAATAAGTGTATACACTTCGACTGATATTAATGCATATTCTCATCAGACATACTACAATTGATGATATACCTAAAACAAAGTTTGATATAGTACCTGAATAATGTGATTTGAGTTTTATTATGCTTTTTTTTTTGTTTTCCAGTAGTATTTTCATTTAAACACTAGCATAAATAAACCAATAACTATTTTATTATTCATTTATAATACTAAAAATAATAACTGCAGTTTATAAAATTAAAGTTTTGGATAAAATATAAGCCTTTGTTGTACATAATTTATTAATAGGTAAATAGCTTTTTGCAGTTTTTTTCTGCTAGATAAAAAGTTAAAATAATTAGGAATTTATGTCATTGCATTACATTGGTTTACTAATTATCTTACTCACTGACAATAATTAACAAAGGTTATAAAGTTGTCACCCAAGGCACTTTTTTAGGCCTTATACTATTTTTAATGCATCTTTATATGTATTATATTAACTCAATGCTGGTATTATTATCAAAAGATGTTGTAAATAATTCATATTTGCCAATAATATAAGACAAATTTAATGTAAAAATTAATTGAGATTAATTAAAACAAATTGTCAAAATTGACCTTCGATATTTTAATAAAGTGGATCACTATTATAAATGGTAAAGTTGGAACTCAGTGATGTATCATTGTAGACGTAAAATGGTTCTAAGTGAAAACAGTCGAATCACTAAATAAATTTAATGATATGTTTTTTTTTTTTTAAGTATCTATTAGTCATTAATCATTAATAGGAATGAGAAGTTATAAGAGGTAAAATTGGCAAAATATGTACAAAAAACAACAAAAATATGCAAAAAAAATTTTATATTATTATACTATTAAAATTTTACAACCAAAAAAATAAAAATAAAAGCATCTATTAAATTAAATTTATAAATTGTACATTTTTTTTTTTTAGTATAGATTGTTTAAGATCCTAGATAAAAAATTTTAAAAAAATCTATAAATAATATATAATAACATCTATAAATTAAATTTGTTGCACTGGACCACTAAAGCTTTTTTTAAGTTATCAACATCTAACTGACGACGATTGTTCGACAAAATATTTTTATAATGGGAAAAACTTCTTTCTACATCTGTTGATGTTATACAGGCATACTTAAAGTAAACCAAGTCATCACCGATCAAATCTTCAGGCAATCCATCCATAAATGTAATTTCTCCAGTTAAAATATTTGATATATTTTGTAAAATACTAAATCTGACATTTTTTCACAAAACATTATTTAATTTTTGATTTATTGCCACATCCACTTCACCAATTACAGTATCTAATTTATTTTTCATAGACTTTAAGAGAATAATTGAATCAATTAATAAAACATTCTCATTTTCAAGTTATATTATCATTGATGGTAAAAATCCATAATTTGCATGTATAAAAACCAAGTTAGGTTTTAGAGAATTTTCACTAAAAAGAAGTTTTGTCTCTTTAATAGAAATTGCGGCACTCGAATCTAGTTGTTGTAATACACTATGTATTTCTTTAAAATATGTGCAGTAGTATGAAGCAGCATTTATCCAAGTCCCCAATGCATAAGTATGGGTTTCGGTAGAGGTGGAATACCCGGAACTTCGGATCTAAATAACATTGTACAAGATGAAACTTTTAAAAAAACTTGTTTTATTTTTAATATTAATTTGTCTACCTCAGGAAATTTATCATGAATTTTCTCTGCAATTCTATACATTGCATAGGCTAAAAAAGTAACATGTACCATTTTTTAGTACAACGCTTTTATAGCTGTACCAGCCTTTATCATATATGAAGCGGCGTGTCGCTCAGAAATAAAAGCACAATATTTTGTTGTATACCGTCTGGCCACAAAAAAACCATAGGTTTATCAAAAAGCTTTGCTACTGTAGAAAAGTTTATCATTTTTAGAACTTCAGATGTTAATAAAAATATTTCACCTGGCCCATCAATTAATAGTGTGCCGACAATAACATTTGCAATGAATCTATCTTCTACATCAATTGTCTTATCTATAGACACCCAAATTTTTTTTTCTGTAATACGTTTTCTAATACAATCCATTGTTTCATTGTAACAATCGTCCACATATGTTTTTCTTAAAGTAGATTCTGTTGGGCTATCATACAATGTGTACGTTTCAAGGAATGATCAAAATTCAATATTTGCGAGTTTATGAAAGGATATATTAGCACATAATATAGCTTTACACAAATCTTTTGAGAATAAAGACTTTTTAGAATTACTTGATGCACTTACTGTGAACAACTGTTGTTTTTTTAAATTTGAATTTTGTTGATGGTTCAGCAATCACTCGTTTGCTTGTCTTTAAATGCTGTATAACAAATAATGTAAATAAAATTTAAATTATAAGTATAAATATTTACGATTAAAAGTAAAAACTAAAAATGTTATTGTTTATTTTGATCTAATCAAAAAAAAAAAACTATTAGAATATTTTTCAATAGAAAACAAAAAACCCCTTGGTTTTTAAATTTTAATCAATAATAGATTCTTTAATTGAATTTTTTTCAATATTAAATATAAATTCTGCACTAGAAATTAAGCAAATACAACTTATTATATTACTAGAGAAAATATTTATCAAATTCTATATGTAAAATAATTTTTTTATCTGATATAACAAAATTTATCAGTTGTCAACTCATGTCAATAAGAAATATTGATTTAAAACGTTTTAATCGTGTTGGATTATTATACATCAATAAAAGTTCTTAATGTGTTTTATAATAAACTTTTTTATACTCCGTGAAACTCATAAGCTTATTAATATTTTTCAGTTTTAAATTTCAAATTTGTATTGTCTTCAGGAGAGCACTTTCTGTTTACTTTAATTCAAACATTTTTCACGTTACAATGATCAAATTTATTAGGTTCATGGTTTTGATTGTCTAATTTACCTGTTTGAAACAATATAGCAACAAATAATAAAGTATTATCCTTTTGTTGTTGTTGAGATAATGATGTTAATTATTTTATCAACCAAACTTTATACAAGTTGTACCTACTCTACAATTAGAAATTTAATCAACAATTCATCATTAATAATTTTTCCACTCTTTACTGTATTTTTTATTTTTAGTTTTTAGCAAAGCGTTATCATTTGTTTATCTCTTAAAAAATATTTCAAATGTTAAACAGGATAATATAATGTTTGCTTAATAAACCTAAACCAAAGTTTAATAAATTACTTACAACATTAAAATATTCTCCATCTTGAAACTTGATTACAAATCCTTAAATTTTAATTAGACCATTTTCATCTACAAAACAACTTTATTTTACTTTAATTAATAATATACTAGCTCTTCCTACATTTTAAATTTCACCTATAACTTAAGCATGTTTTTTAACTACAATACTGGAAAATAAATATGGTATAAAGTTATAAATTAATTTTTTATTAAAATTTGTTAGATAATCAATACAATTTATAAGAAAAATATTAAACTATATATTTTTTATACTTAGAAAACTATCAGTGTTATCTATCTATGAGATGTTGTTTTACTAAGTGTATTAGGATGTGTACTATTCTCTGGTAAAAAATTTTTATGTTGAAAGATTTAAATAAAGTCATAGTATTTTTTTTTAAATATAATTTTATTTATAATAGTCATTTTTTTTTTTTTATAATAAATATATGGAATTAATAAACTCATTTAAAATGTATAAAAAGAAAACAAAATGTTTATTGTATTTTTTAAGAGGCTCATTAAGATCAGGTAAAAAAACATTATTGTGTATAATATAATTGAAAAATGTTGGGTAAGTTACAAAAACTATCAATCAATCAATTTTAAGATGAGTTGAATGGTTAAAGAATAATAGAATTTGTAGGAATCAGATCTAAATTATATTCACATCAAATCTTAGATTGTGAAATTAAAAAAGTTAAAAATGTTAAAAAAAATTTAGTTGACAATAATTCAGTGATTTTAAAAATTGTTTACTAACTAAAAAAGTCCTTATGATATGATAAACAATTTATTTTGGAAAATGGTATTGATAAATTAGCTTGTAGACATAATACATTTTTTTAAACCAATACAATATTTAAAATTGAATTTTATTGTTATTCGTTTTATAAAATGAATTATATATTTAACAAATTACTTAAAACATAATTTTAAGTTAATTTCGCTTACAATATTTTGAGGTGAATGACGTAATAAATTATACATTTCTTGTATATTTTTCTATTACTAGGTAAAAAAATTAATTAACCAATTATTAGTATTATATTGATATTTTTAAATGTTTTATAAATAAAAAAATTAAGATAATATAATTTAATTTTTACTTTGATATACTTATGCTTAATGTTTAAAATATTTACCAATAATTATAGCAACTATTTAGTTGTTAGGTGTTCAACTTTGATCAAAAATTTGCTGTATAAAAATTAAAAATGTAATTACATAAACCTAGTGGTTTTTAACCATTGGTTGATTTCAGAATGAAAAATATGACGTGTGAAAAAATATAGAGTAGACATGTATCTACTTTTTTCCATTTACATTTAAATGGAATTCGGTATGTACTATGTAGTATGGTCGTATGCTTCCTAAAATTTATGTTATTATACTTAGGTATATATTTATCAATACTATATGTATGTATCTCAGGGTGTGTGTTCTTCTAATTGATTTTAAATAAAAATACTTTTATTAAAAATTGTTATAATTATTATTAAACCATATGTTTAATAATATTCAACCATTTTTAATAATAATAATAATAATAATAATAATATTTAAATTACTAAAATTAATAATTCTGAGAAATATTACATGATATATGTACTTAAATTATACATCTTTATTTTTAATAAAAATTTAAAAATTTATTTTTTAGTTAATAAATTAGGTAGTAGTAATTTAATAACGTGTATTATTGATTATAAATAATGATATTTATAATGTGTGCTGCTTTACATTTTTGACTTTGTAGTTAAGTTTTAATTTCATGTAATTTAAATTTGTTTAGTTATTTTAATTTAAATGATAAGCAGAATCTTACTACTAATTAAATAATTAATAACAAATTGAATATTTTATTTAAAATAATGATTTATTATGTTTAAAGTTTAATGAAACCTCAACTGTTCGGTATATTAATTAATATTTGTATCTTTCATGGATATTTTTGATTTTTTGTATTATTTCTTACTATTCATTAAGCTTAATTAGAAAGTATTAAATAATATTGTTATTATTTTGAATAATATTAAATATTTTAAATTTAATATACTTTGAACAATACTTTTTAATTGGAGAAGACTTAAATTAACTGTTTAGTTGTAAGTGCTAACAAAATTAAGTTAATATTATACAATTCAAGGAATATGGGTTCCTTACAGTCTTATGAGTTTATAGTTAGTCTATGCATGCAGTAAGTTATTGAAGTTTATAATTAGGTGCCTATTTAGAATGCTTAAAATTTGTTTTAAAACAATATTTGGATTGTTAAAATGGGAAATAATTACTTTATATGTAAAATATAGATACATTTTGACAAATCACTTATTTTTCCTATTGGGACAGTAGTTGATGCCTAATTCAAAAGTATATTTTATGAAACAAAAATGTTAAAAGTATCAGAATATTACAAATGCAAGTTTGTCAATTTATTATAAACAATTTTCACTTTAAATCTAATGCTATAATATTATGAATTTATTTCTATTAAGGTTCAATATTTTAGTACAACATACATGGACTGTCCAGCGAATGGACAATTAAAGTTCATAAATTATTATCTTTTTAACCTTACACTTTTATACCTGAATGTTCAATGTGTATTAATTATTTTTTATCATATCAAGGTAGGAGCAAATATTGTTTTAAAATGTAATGGTGTAATTGTATAAATGATTTAGTTTGAGGTAACATTTTAAAAATACAAGATATTGTCAATACATAGTTGGTATATTTTTTTTTTATATATAATCGTATTTATTAACAATTTATTTATTTATGTTGTTTTGCAGTGTTTGGTGATAGAGAAAAATATTGCTCAGATAGAACATTATCATGTTTTAAAAGTAGAAGACACTTACCTACTAATGATACTCTTGATCAATTTCCGCTTAACAATCCAGAACACAGTGGTATAACTCATGTATTACAAAATCGTAGAAGTCAAGAATTTAAAAAAGATTTTGGGTAATTTTTTATTATATATACATTGTCAACTCAATAATTATTATAATATTTACTTATATATTTCTATTTAAATTCAACTTATTGTTTTGCATAATAAAGGGAAAGTAGGGAAGAAGAAGCCTTAGCAATTGAAAAAAAAGATATTGGAAAAGTAATTTGTGTAGTAACTAATATTAAAAAGAAAGTAAGGGATAATTGGTTTCCTGGTTTGATAGTCGCACCCACTTCACAATCCTCAGTTAAAACTAATTTTATAGAAAACCATCTAGTTCGTTCATTTAAGGATGGAAAATAGTAAGCATTATTAGAGATTGTTTAGTATAATTAACTATTTTTACTATCATATTTTTTAATTAAAGCTATACAGTATCAAAAAAAGAAATAACTGAATATACAAAAGAAATTGGTACTAAAGTGGAAAATCCTACGCTTAAAATTGGTAAATATTAGATTTTTTTTAAAAAGCTTCTAGTAAATTATAATAATTATTTTTTAGCGGTCAAAAAAGCCAATTTCTATCTTGACAATGATGAACTTCCGCCACACTGGGATCGAGATTTTTTATTTGGTGTTGACAAAATTTGTACTGCTACTAATGATTGCAATGTAAGCATTTTTTGATTATTAGATATAAGATTATTTCCTTTACTTGCTCTAATATTCAATTATTTTTAAGTTTAAAATTAAGAATTATTAATTAAATAGGGTTTATATTATGAAAGATTTAGGTATTTATTTCATGTGTGAATTATCATTTAAAATTAATCATAAACTAATATGAAAGAAATCATATAAAATGTTTGGTTTCATTAATAGAAATACTTGAAATTTTAATTATGATAACTTTATATTGTTCTCTTGTACGTTTTTCCTTAAAATTTAACTCATTAATTTGGTTACAGAAATACCAATTTATATCTATGATCTTTAAGTTGTTCAATATAAAGTTTAAAAAGAGTAGTTCTTATCACTTTTATAACTATTCCTGGAGGAGCTTATGATATTTTTCAGTATTAAATTGATTTGGTTTCCTTATACCTTAGAAGACAATTGGTAGATGTAATATTTGTATACAATTTATTAAATAGAAATATTGATTAATTGGCACAATTATGTATTGGTGTTCCTTCATATTTTTCTAGAAGTAAAAAATTATTTGTTATCTATTATTTTTTGAAAACATTTGATGTTGATTCATTTTTCTTTCATATTCTAATCATAGCTAATAAAATTTCTTTCTTATCAGATTTTTCCTTTAAATCATCACATTCTTAAATTCAATGTTTTGTCAATTTTAAACAAAGATGTATTATTTAATTATTATTTGTTATTGTTAAAATATTATCTGTAATTATTTTATAAAATACCTTGATCTGTTAAACTGTTTATAAATAAAATAAATATTTTGTGTTAATAAACTAATGGAATATGATGTTAATGGAATTCTTATTAGTTATTAAACACTGTATAAAATTATTATTCATTTAAAAAATGTACATTTTTCATTAAATTATTCTTATATTTAATTCAATAAATCGTTTTTTAGAATTTTGATGAAGAAGAATCAATTGAAGAAAAAGATTATTTTGTTGCACAGTTATTTAAATTTATGGATGATCGAGAAACTCCTCTTAATCAAACTCCAATGATTAATGAAAAGGATGTTGATTTATTTAAATTATTTAAGGTATGTAATACAATTCAATTATTTAATTTAGTGCAATAATATAATATGTTTTCTATAAGATACGATTATTAGATAAAATAGCTATTTGTATTTCTTTAATAACACAATTATTAGGTAGAAAAATGTATCATCTTATTTATTCATTGTTATAATTTCTTTGTCAGTACTTGCATCACTGTTAATAATTTCATAAATCAATTAATTACCTCTTAAATAAATAAATAACATTTAACATACTCTTGATATTCTTGTTTACAAATTATTAGTAAATATTAAACAATTTACTTAAAAAAACAACTAACATTTTTATATTACATGTCCAAAAACAGATAAGAAAATTGAGATAACATCATTGCATGCGTATTTTGGTATATTTTAAATAATAGAGTCGTAGCAAAATATAATAGTGAACAATATGTTGTTTATTTAGTTTAAAATAAAGTACATGTAGAAGCATAAAATAGTGGCTGAGTAACATAAAGGTGTTCACATATTAACGGCTATGGTACATTTGCCATTACTTCTCTCTGGGCTCTCTTATAAATAGAATTAGTTCCTTGCAATGGATAGCCCACGGTCTTGCATTTTGCAGGTATCCTTGGTGTGTTTTGAAATTTGTTATTGTAGAATAGCGACCTCGATGATGCTTTTCAATCCTAATTGCTGACACTTGCAAGTGAAATTTGTTGTTGCAAAAGGGTGACTTCAATGATGCATTTCCATCTTAATTACTGACATGTGCAATGAATATATTATTATTATATAACTCTGATTTTTTGTATCCCATGACAACATTTTTATATTTTTAAATCAAGTTAACAAATAATAGTTAGAGGCAATTATCTAACTAATAATAACTAATACTATTTAATTATTTTTAGATTGTCAATAATTGTGGAGGATACAACAAAGTTGATAGATGTAATCAATGGGTTTATGTATCAGTTAAAGCTGGTCACGAACAACAATCATTTTTATCTGTCAAACATTTCTATCAAAAGTTAGTATATAATTTTATAATATATTCTATTATTTATTATATTTTCTGAACTTAACTGACTAAACTTAAAAAATAAAATAATACTTTTTTCTATAACATTGGGATTCATGATAAAGTATTTAATAACCTTTCTTTAACATACCAGTAAATTGTTTATTAAATATTAAACAAGGTTATGTAAAATTTACCAATTTTTTTTTATATTAAATGTCAGTTAAGTATTTTCATAAAAATATGTTTATTTTCTATAAATAATAGGTACACGGTTTTAATAAAATTGTATGTTTATATTTAAATATATTTGATAATAATATATGATATATATCATTTTTTGACATAATTTATTCATTAATATTACTCATTTCATTTGGTTAATATATTGTTAATAAGTATTATAAAAAAATCAACCATACTTAAATAATTGATAATTAAGTTTTAAAAATAGATTTAATTATTTTTTTATATAAAAAATAACAAAAGTATATGTATTACAAAAACCCAATCAAATTATACTTAATATGACATGTATTAAGGATGGGGAAACTAAAGGTACGTGTTATATTATGACCCATGTTACATTTTAATAAATAACATATCATAAAATGTTAGTGTTAATCTGATTAGATTTTATTATGTTTTTTTTTTTAACATTAAAATATTTTGTAAATATAAAAATTAAACGTTAACTGTAAATAGTAAATTTTATTGATTTTTTTTTTTCCTAAAAGTTGGTCACTAACTTTGAGTTGCCTATTCGTGACGTCTTATATTAAATAAAATTAGACAAAATAATAATAATAAAAAAAAAATCATTTATGTAAAAGTATTGTATTTTGAAATTACAAATGAGATAACAATGAACTATAAACTAAAAACAATGATAATGAAGAACAGTTTCAACATGCTTATAACAGAAGAAAAAAGATTGTGGAAAAATTCAAGGAAATATTTAATGCACTTTTTACAAATATCGTAACTGTAATACGATACAAGATCATATATTAAGAGCTAAATCAATGATTAGTGTGTGTCCATACTTTTGGCAGTAATGAGTAATGACATTGGGGAGGACCAAGTTGTCTCGTTGTGTATTATAAATTTAGTAAATCAGTACCTTTTTAAATCTAATTGAATCAATGATTGATAATTTTTGTTTAGAATAAACTCTTTAAAAACGATTAGAGTCCATGACAATATCTATGATACAACTTTTTAGAATGTTCATAAAAAATCTAAAACACTGTCATAGTAATTTAATAAGATATATTATAAAAACTAATAAATAGTAAATACTGTATTATAATAACCTGATTAGCATTTTTTCATTCATCTAAAACCCTAACAGCAAGTTGACCTAAAGGCTGTGTATTTAAACCACTACGATTTGAAAAAACTGTGCAAAATTTACAAAAAGCACTCCTTTTTAACTTAGAATATTTTAGCTATTTGTATTGAAATATTAGGCACCGTTTTTTGTTTCTATTAATTATTGAGAATTTGTCATTTCCTTATTAATAATCCTTATTTCTTAAAATATAATTGAAATATTAAAACCATTTAAAGCCAAGTGCTTATAGGATTTAATAATAATTATTTAAAAAATATATATAGCTCTTTGAGGGGGGGGGGGTATATTCCTATATCCCCTCATAATTACGCCACTGCTAACGAAGTAGTTTTGACAGAGATGAAAAGAAGTTTGTAGTCATGAGCCTTAATGGGCTCCAAAGATAATAGAGAAAGAGATAAAGTGCTATACATGTTATGTAAATAATGTTTGAGTAGAAAACTTAATGAATCTTCAGTTTTAATAATTTATAATGCTGCGTTAAATAAAAATAAGCGCAAGATTTTCTTTGTTTCCTCCTGAAGATTATAATATTTTAAGTTTTCATTAATGAACTGAGATAATGCAGTGGAATAAATTTTAAACAGTTCTTTGTATGCTAAAAGATAGATTTGACTTGATGTATCATGTTTAAAAATCTCTACTAATACATTTTCTATTTAACGCTCACTTGTATCAGTTGTTTTGTAAACAACAATAAAAATATTGAAGTTGTATAATTATAACATGGATAAAAATCATTTTTCCTTAATATACTTTCATCAAAAATATGCTTACTTGTGTACTTCTCCAAAAAATTCTTGAATTCTGGAATTTTAAGATTATCAACAATTATCAAAATTAAGTAAGTTCCTCATTAAAAATGTTACCAGATTTGAGTTATGCATATAATACAAATAATTATTTTATGTTTTCATTTACTCTACGTTTTAAAGCACTTCTTTGCAAAGCGGTATCAACGTGTTGCAATTGAAAATTTTTTGTCACAACTAACAAAAAAATTCCAGAACCGTCTGTAGTAAAAATGGTATGGTTTGTATTATTATAAAATACAATCCATTGTATTAATAAATTTGAAAAACTTCTATAACTTAACAGTATTTTAAAAATTTTGTAAATTGAACAAACAGAATCATACAGTAAAAACTATCTACGAAACGCAGGTCACAAAATAATATTTATATTCTAAGGGCAACTAATTAGTAATCACTGATGATTATGTCCGACAATACAATGCAGCGTGTTAACAAAATATTTACCTTTTCAGATTTAAGTATTGAAAAAAACTAAAAATTTTCTTTTTTGAAGATAACTATAAAGAACTTAATTAGAGATAAAATTTAAAAAAATTTAATTTCCATAAAAATCTTAGTTTTACCAGACCTGGTGCCTTACAACGTGTTAATATTTTATTTACTTAAATTTTTACTTTTGTTTTTTTAATTTTTAAACTTAATTATTTATTCTAAAATATAAAAGATATATTTATCAACTTTAAAAAATTAAAATCTTGAAAAAAATGATTTAAGAACATAGCTATATAGTATAAAAATAAATGTATAGTCAAAATGTCTGTATTTTTAGACTTAAATATAACATGTTTTTTAGTTACTTACAAATGACAAAGGTATTGTAACGTGGCTGGGGAACCTAGTTACTATATTAGTTATCCAGGTTAGGTTTTCTGGTCCTTATGGATAAATTTTCCGTAGCTGGGGGGTTAGAACACGGTATGTGGGATCTTATCAATAAATAAAACACGTTTGGTTTATAAATCTCAGTTCAAAATATATTTTTGGTTTGTACTTAACAAAATGTAGATGGTGGTAAACAATCCCGGTGTTGGTGAGTTCATGTTTTTTGGTGAGTTCATGTTTATTGCTGGTCAGTCTCGAACTGCTCTTTCGATAAACGGTGCGTATTGGCCACAGGCCTCACAATCATTAACAATGTTTATCTCAGCATAAATATCCCACTATTGCCTACTACGGAATTGACACATACATAGGTGTCATGTAACAATAATATATATTATTGTTACAGTATAAAATCCAATTACTAACAAAAGCGATATCAGTTAAGTTTATTCTTAAATTGAACTGTTTACTTCTTATATCAATCTAATATACTTCGATAGGTATGTTATGTAAGTTCACATTACCTATAAAAAAGTTGTACTCTTTTACAACAGTGGTCTTTGAACCAGAATTCTTATTTTAGATTTAGTAGACCAACTTTATAATTCAACTGTAAGTTCAGGGCCAGTATAGTTGGAAAATAGGTGTTTAAATTTACTATCAAATTATTTACAACCAGTTATGTCACTATTACTATACATTTTTCAATTATTTGTGTTTCTTCTTTTCTTAAATTTTTATCGCTCTTAAACTGACATACTAATAATTCTTATTGTTCTATTAGCTAGGTTAGGTTTATTGTTTCAATTTGCACATAAATTAGTATGATGTAATTTGATTTTCTAAACCAAGTTTATAATTTAAGTTACTATTTAGTTAGATCATATAAATTAATAATTGTGTCGCAACTTATCCAAGAGAAGATTTTGATTTTATTGTACCTTTTCCCTAATAATAATAAATATTATAATTATTTGCTGAATAAAAAGAATTGTTCAATAATAAATGTAAACAATACATACGTATTTTATATTTATTACAATATAAAATAAATATTCCATACATTTCTAATGATGCTGTACGAATCATCAGATGTTTGACATTGTGACGTCTTAATTACATCAACTGTGTGATGAGAATTATCCTAATTCTAAAAAGTTTTCCAATTAAATGTGATATTAATTGTTAAAAATCAAAACTAATTATGTAAAATGGAGAGTGATAAAAACTATGTATTATCTTATCACTAAAATGGGACTGAAAGGATTTAAAAAAACATTTTTATTTAAATCCAGTCGACATTATTTCTAATGACTGCGTTACGATTAACTATATATAATTTTAATACAACCTATCTCAAAATATAAGATACAGGAAACACAATTTATTTCTCATTAATATATAAATAAATTATGATCAAGTTACTACTATGAAATAGAAAAAAAATAGCTGGTTAAATGAATTTTTATATAAAATATGCTTTAATGCTCAAAATTCTTCAAATATACTGTCATCCCAAAATTATGCATTTACATGCATGATAAATTTTTTTCATTTTTTCTATCTCTGCTACGAATTGTCCATAGCTATCATTCCCATCAAACTGCACAGTACACATATCACAATTATGTTAGTGCATTTAAATCCCAATCTTAAGTTTATGACTAATTAGTATTTTCTATAGGCGTATTTCATCATGAAAGTTGAACCAAATATTTTCAATGAAAACCATACTTTAATCAAAATAGCCTCAATAAGATTTATTTTTTTAGAACTAGTTCGAATAAAATACGTATTATTGAATCACATAAATATTTATACATCTAATCATTCACTTGGTTCGTTGCATATGCCATATATGTAGTATATTAACATTAAAGTATAAAGTAGTATTATTATATTATATTACATATAATATATGTACTTAAAATTAATCAAATCAAACCGATTATAATATACAATATTTAACTAGGTATAATTTATAAAATTCCCCACCATCGTTTGATATGCAATGTCAACACTGCTGTTTTCGTATGCAAGTTATTATTATTTTTTTTTGTGCATACTTCACATAACATGTTATTAAATAGAATTGTATTGCGCAATTCAAAATTTCATTTGTATAAATAATTTGTTTTTATTTTTCAAATTGTCCTCCTAAGGCATTTTAATTTAAATGACCAATAGTAAATACCGCGTGCTTAATGAGCCTTAATGAGGCTTAATAACCTACATATAATATCTAATAGTTACTTAAATAATATACTTGGATATGTTTGGTGTTAAATCTCCAATGATGTAGTCCCTTCCCTTGATCTAAGTTGTATAGCTTCAAACATCTTAGGCTTAATGTTTTTCAAGATGCCAAGAAGTTATTTACCAGCAGTGTTGTTGAGTATGTAACTCTAGTTTTTTTGCATGCATTAGCCTGCATACTTTTTAATTTCATCCTGGATTTTGATATTTTTAAATCTCAATAAATGACTTCATTTCTAATAAACTGATATACTACGAAAACTTAACGAATTTCAATATTTTGACAGTGTTTAATAAGTTCAATATAATATTTACTATTACATACCTACAATTGTATGCAATAAGTTCAAATAGTTACATTTAGAAGTCATTTATTTGGCAGATCTGGTACAGAATGTTTTCCAACTAGTTAGTAGAACTTGAGCATTTTTTCTTTGGTTTTAATTATTTTTGGTAAATACAGTGTTTGCAATTTAGGCGGAAATGAAGTGTTTACAAAGTATTAAGTTTAATTTAATCTAGTTACACACTAACACTTGTATATTTTTGGTTTTACGTAAAGTATTATTCACATGCACCGCCTTATCACTATTGATCTTGATTTTCTAACACCTTGTCCAATTAATAATATTGATTGAGGTCTGTAAGTTTTCAATCGCACAATGAGGGGTTCATATGTTGTTTAAATGACTGTATAATCAGTTTAGGGTCTGGATTTAAATGCACTAAAAATCATTGAAAAATGCTCTAAAATAGTTTAAAAAATTTAAATTATTGTTTAGATGGGTTAGTTAATGATATTTTTATTTCATTAAAAAAAAAAAAACTAAAAAATTGAAAATTTTGACTTGCAATTAGTGATGATAGATTTGATTAGATTTTCCTAGTTCGGACGATAATTTTATTAATAAATATGAGATATAGACATTATTGTATGTATAGAACGGTTTATAAATTGTAAGAAAAAACCTGAAAAACATAAGTTATATTTTGAATTAGCTACATTTAAATTATTAAGTCATATTATAGATTTAATAATCTAAATATATTTGATCTATGGTCGTAATATGTATAAGTACTATATATTATATTCGTAAATTGTACTAATATGCATTAAAAATAATAAAAATGACTGAAAATGCTAAAAAATACCCTAAAAATGAATAAATATTAAAATATGTAAAAAAAAAGAATTTAAAAAATTTCACCTTTGAAGTCTCTGATACATGAATCAAATTATATAGGTACTTAGAAAGTATTGTTTAAGATCAAAAAAAAAAAAAAAAAAATATATTTTGCATTGAAATCTTAGTCCTATTCATTATCAAACATAAGTGTCATTGTAAATTGGAATATCAATTATTAATTATGTAAAGTAAATAAATACTAGGCCTTAAGACATTGCAGTTTGCTACTGAAGTACAGCTGATATGTTTTTTCAATTTGTTATCGGTTTTTATTAATAATAATAAAAAATATGTACAATTATACATAAATGTCATAAATTATAATTTATTTTGATATATTTATTTATTTTTTAAAACAATAATAATAATAATATACACAATTGAGTAATTTATATAATGGTATAAAAATAAATAAATAATTGAATAAAACTTTTTTTTCCTTTTATTATATTTAAAAATGTTTAAAAAAATAAACGATAGAATTTTCTCATTTAATCATATTATATTAATATTTATTAATTAAACATTAAAACTTTTTTTTATAATAGCTTACTTAAATTACTTTTAATAGATCACTGTGATAGTTTTTATTAATTTTTTTTCTACGAATAATTTATGAATTGTTTAATTACAATTTGTACTTTTCGTTATTTCTATCAAAATGAATTAATAATTTTTTTGTGATTGCATTACAGATATTTATATAGTTTTGAGAATTTTTATCGAAAACTAGGCTGTACAATGTTAAATCATAAAAGAAAAGCAAGATCACGCAACAGTTTTAGTCGCAGTATTATAAGAGATATTGATAAAGCATTACCTAGCACATCATCTATTATTGATAAAAGTAATTCTGCAAAAAATAAATTAAACAATAAAAAGAAAAAAGATTCCACAGGAACTAAAGAAGTAGTTAAAACTATTAAAGTTGAAGAAATATGTCAAAAGAGTAATGGAGAAACTTCAAAAAAAGATGAAATTAGCAATAAAATATTACATAAAAAAAAATCAGTGACATGGGATCCAAACATAATAGAAATTAAAAATTCTGTTAAAAATTTTAAAATTAAAAAAGAATTAAAAGAAATTGATACTGACATACTAGATGATGTACAAATCGTTGAAGATAAAACAGTAGAAAAAGAAAAAATTGCAATAATAAAATCTGAAAATATTGAATTACTAAATACGAGTGAAAGTAAAGCTGATGAAGTACAAACTAAAACTTTTTTAAATATAACTGTATTCAAAAATTCAAAGAGAGGAGGATTGTATTTTTTTAAGCCAGACATTTCAAGTGAAAGAAAATTCAGTGGAGTACCAAAAGTAAAATTTATTTATATGTTTTTTATTACTTAATTTAATTTACATTAAATTTTATTTTGCATATTTAAGAATTTTTATGAATTAATGCATGTTTTGAAAAAAATTCTAAATAAATAGATATTTTGCCAAAAAATAATTTAAATATAATATAAAACTCGATATATCGACATATCGTAGACTCATATCCAATCTATTATAAAATAATTATCAATATCTTAAGAATCGCAGATGTATTTATAGTAAGTTCATTGTACTTGTGATATTTATAATACTTTTAATATTTTTATATTATTGGATTATACACGGAAAATTAAAGTAGATATCGTAGTAGGTAACGTACAAAACGTTTTATAGGTACGCGTTTATTAACCCTGGTTTTTATTATTAACTTATCATTATTACCTACTTACTTGTACCTTTACTATGACTTAACGTTTTTTAATCACGATTACGGCCCATAATCGCTATAGAGTGATAATGCCGATATAACATAATGACTTACATTATACAATCCACAGGTATTGTGTAGACTGCAGTATTTCCGAATTATTTTAGTATACGCGTTTTATTCTCACTAATAATGTCAAAAGCTAAATGTTCCACTGCTGCTCGACTACGAAAATTTGTTTTAACGATTTATCAAAATTTTAAAATCTAATATTTTTGTATATTTGTATCTAAGTTTAAATTTGTAAAAAAAAAGTTGTATATTAATTTAGAATATATTTTCGACTGGTAATAAAATTTTAAAAAGACATCTAATTTTTTTAAAGCTATAATATTTTGATATAGATTGGGCATATTTGCATGCATTTTTAGTGTTTTTAAGGTCATAAACATCCTAATCCTACAGTCATTGTATATATATAAATCATATTTAATTTTATGCGTGACTAGATAGATACTTTTCTAAATTTACAAATTAAAAAAAAAAAAAAAATTAAACTACATTTTTATTGATAGATTTAAGTATTTTATTTCACTTTTATTTCAATATATTAAATTTTTTAATTTGAATAGTAGTTACATTTTTTATTTTAAGTATACAATTTTTCTTGTGCTTTTGAAATAGATAGTTTATACTTAAATTGAATAATCTTAAACAATAAAATTTAAATATAACATTTATGAGACATTTTTTATAAATTCTGTCATAGGCCACTAAAAAAAAGAAGAATATTAGAAAGAAGACTTCAAAGAATAATATTATAGTTGTGTATGTTTAAAATCTATTTATAAATCCATGTATGTCATATTTTAATAATACTGGTTATATTTTACAGTAATGTCAAAGTTGAAACATTTAATGAAAACTCAACAGTGGTTGTTGGAGACGATTTATTAGTGTACTATAATCAATACGAATTTTATGAAGCAAAAGTAAGTTTTTCAAATACATGTAAAATGCATACTTCATTTTATAAATATGGTTTTAATTTGGCAAACTAGAAAATTGCATGTTGTTCTATGTATTTTTGATCTTTAGCAGAGCAAGCTAGGACCCCAAGTTTACAACTACAATGGTGGATTTAAAAATTTAAAAAAGCATATTTTGTATATTTTGTCATAATTGGCTTGATAGCAAAAATATGATGATCAGCTTGTTATAACCAAATATTTGTTCTATAATTCAATGTATTTTACTTGCTATGCCCGATAACTCATTATAACCATACTCGTTGTAAGCGTATATTTTAACATACAATCATATGGGCTCTTGCTGGGACTTAGCGTTTTGCTTGTTGTAAACAGTATCTCATTTTAATCGATGCTCGTTGTAGTGATTTCTACCGTATTTGAATTTTAATCTTTGCCCTACAATTTGAATACCTTGATATGTAATATGTTAAATTTTGTATTACTATTATTATTATAAATCATAATATCTAAACTAAATTACATAAATATTTTACATTTTCAGGTTCTTAAAATTTATAATAATTATGGAGTAATGAAATATTACATACATTATATAGGATGGACTTTACGTTACAATGAGTGGATTGACATATCAAGAATTGAATTCAAAATTATAGGTTTTACAGAAGAATTAGAAGGTCATAACAACATAGATTCATCTAAGATTAGTCTTCCAGAAGTATGTAAAATAGTTGTAAAAAAATTAGTTAGAAAAAGATTGAAAATTATTATTTTTAATTTAAATTTTTAAATATTAGTTTTTATACAAGATTTATTAAATTTTAGATTCAGAGTGATAAATGTATTGATTTTACAAATATTTGTTTATTTTATTTATATGTGTGTACATGATAAGTATTTTTTCAACTTTAAATATGGTTTTAGATAGCAAATTTGATTTAGTTTATTACGTACAATGATTTATTATTGAATTAATATTTAACCAAATCCATTATAACGTTTTACTCAATAATGAGTTCTACTTGACACCTAATGTACAGCATAGCAGTACATTATCCTCCTTTATTTTTTATTTTTTAAACTACAATTTAATAACTATCAATATAAAGTTTAAATTATTATATGATATATTATATTTTTGCTTATATTAAATATATGTTCTAAATATTATTGATTACGAAAATTAATAAAATTACAAATTTTATTGTTAATTTGAACAATAATAATAATATTGAAGCTTTTAAATAATTATTTTAGAAAATAATTGTATAAAAATAATTTTTCTCTTAAGTATACAATTATCTTGTGCTTTTGAAATAGTGTTTATTCCATATGAATAATCTTAATTAATGATATGATGTAATATTTATGAAAATTAATACAAGTTTTGTGATAGAACTCTGAAAAAATAAAGACAGTCAAGAAGAAAAAGGAAAGTGAGGAAAATACTTCAAACAATATAACTTCATTAGTGTACGTTTAAAAAGTATAAATCTAAGTATGCAATATTATTTAATATTGGTTATATTTTATAGAAGTATAAAAGATGAACCTTGTGATGAGGATACATCAGTGACTGTTGAAGATAGTTTAGCTGTATACAATGGAGATAATCAAACCATAACTCATGATGTAAAAGTAAATTATTCTAATAGAATGATAAAAAAAAAAATTGATTTTAGTATACAATTTTTCTTGTGCATCTGGAACAGTGTATACTCTATTTGAAAAATCTTTATCGATGATATTTAATATCATGTATTAAATTAATTATAGAACAAAATTGTTTTATTATGATTTGCTAATATTGATTTATAATAATAATAATTAAGTTACATTTTAAAAAAATGAAAATAAAATATTTTAATGTCTATTTGTGAAAAAATAGATTATTATAATTAAATATAGTAAAACTTCAATTATCCTAACTAATTGAGATTCACCTACTTTAAATAAATAAAAATTCAGATTCTGGGAACTTTTAAAAATTGTGCGTGTAATTTTATATTTTATATGTAATTCTCAAGTTTTTAATATTGTTAGTTATATTTTCTACAAAATTATTTCCTAATACAATAATAGTTTATTTTTTTTATATTGAATAATATATAATATATAATATATATATTATATATTATACTTTTGAAACATATAAAGCATTCAAAATATAAATTTGGACTAAATAATTTTACCTTGATACTCGGGACATATTTTTTTGGCAAATCTAAAATGTAGCTAAGTGAGATAGAAATCTGTTTTACTTATTAATGATAAAAATTATGCTATTTTTATTTTTCATAATTTTGCATGTTTTGAAGCTTTTGAAGATTACTGCATATTTTAATAATAATTAATTCTTTTATAACCTATAAACATTAATACTAATTACAATAAACTATTATCTATATTTTATTTAATAATTTTAAATTAGTTTATTTATAAAAACAAGTCCAAATAGTTTGATAGTTTTCTTTGGTTAATAATTAAATATATTATTTGTTAAAAATAATTGTTTAAGCAATAAAAATAATTGGTATACAAGAATTAAAATTTTAATGTAATAAAAATATTTTTAAGATAAAATATGTTTTAAATATCATCACTATTACTTGTTAGAATGGTTATTAGGTTTTTTCCAATTTGAATGTGTACAATATGTAATTTTTATATAAGAAACATAAATTCATCATTCACTAACATTTTTACAACTTTTTAGCAAACAAATTTGGACTCAAAAAAGGTTCTATCAACATCTAGTAGAACTAGAAGATCAGCAGTTATTCCAATAAAATCATATTCACTAAGAACAAAAACACCTTACGATAGAACTCGACCTACTAGAGCATGTACTTTGAGTAAATCTTATTTTGGTAAGTATTTTATGTTAATAAAAAAAGATTGATGGGTATAAGTAACCAATAAATTCGAAATACCTATTGTGTATCAAAGTTACTGTTTTACTATTTTAAATTTATTTTGCATGAATATTTTACCATTCTAGATGATTGTACAGTTGATTTTAGATAACTAGAAGTTAAATTCTTAATGTTAATTTTTAATTTTAACCTTTTTAAATTACAAATTAGATTCAATTTTCTATCTGAAACCATCCTTATTTTCAACTAAAATCCAACCATTTTTTCATATTTTAGATAATTATGATTCAGAAACCGAATACTCAGAAAGAACTGTAGAATCATTCAAGCAATATAGTAAGAAAAAAACAATCAAAAATGAACCTGATGTAGTCATAAAACCAAAGCCTTTAAAAACTAATAATCAAAAAAAAAATTTGTGTTTAAAAACATCCCTAAATAAAAATATGTTCTTGCAAAGAAATTTGTCTAGCAAACCAAAGTTATCTGGGTTTAAAATTTGTGATAATAAATCTGAAGAAATCAAGATTCGTGAACAAGATACATTAAAACCATTACTTGATTTAAATTTTATGATTCCATCACAAAATTATAGTGCAAAATCAAATGCAGATAATGAAAATGTAGAAGTACAGTATGAAAGTAAAATTTCTGATGTTACTATATTTGAACCAAAAATTACTCCAAATCATTTGTTTCTTGAAGATAATGTTAGAAAAAATCTAGATAAAATGTCTGAATCCTCAAAAAATCTAAATGAAGAAATCAGAATTAATGCCAAGCGATTGACGGTGACAAAAAAATTAAAAAATTTTAACACCATATACTACTCGTCGTCCTCTGAAGTTGAAGAACAAAATGAGTTTAAAAAAGTAACCAAAGTCATCTCTTCTTCGTTGGATGATAAATCTGATAAGTCTAGAATATCTGGACCTGATTTTTATTTAAACAAAATAAGATCAGATATGAAAGAACCTATGCTAATTTCAACAAATAGTAATAATGATAACATCAAAAAAACCAACAACTTGAATCAACAATTAAAGATTAAAGTTTCAAAAAGTTATGAACCAATCACAGATGTTTATGAATATAAAGAATCTGAATCATGTAATTTTGATGATATTTCTTCTGATATTGATTCCTCAAAATTGTCGAACTCAGAGAAACTTGATGAATTGCCTAAAGTTATACATTCTTCAGCGCAAGTGGAAGTGATTAATAAAAATAAATCTACAGTACCATTTTTTCCTATTCTCTATAGTATGGATTCATTTGATAATAAAATTGGGATAAAAATCAATGAGAATTTGAACCATATTAATAAAATCCATGATTCAAATGCTCATAACGAATCTGATGTATACAATATCAAAAATAAAATTTCAGATTTTTCTTTACAACCAATTGAACCATCACCCAATAACAATTGTATTATTCCAAATCAATTAAATAATTATTTTATTGAAAAGTATATTTATGATAACGATGACGATGATGACGATGATGACGATGAGGATGAATCAAGATTGGTGATAGTGGAAGATCCTGATTATGAAAGTGATGAAAACATACAAGCACAATCCCTGTCACCACTACCATCAAGTATACATCCTAATGAATTAGAGTTCAAAAGTTTATATCCAATTAAAAAAAATAACACTTCACTGGTAGATACAGATGACGAAAGTATACGAAATGATCTTATTACTAGTGTTCAAATGTCTTCATACTCTAAAAGTTATGGTTATGAAGTTGATAAATCTATGGTGCTACCAGAATTACAATTTAGAGAAAAAATGGTAGATAAAAATGTTCTAGATAACACTTTAGTTATAGAGAACAATCATTATGTTGCAGAATATGACATTTATAAACCTAGTACTAGTAAAGGTTTATTTCATTCAATAAGTCAACCCAGTACTAGTAAGGATGGTTGCTATGAAACTAGTACTAGTGGTGATGCAAAAAATAAATCTTTTGTAGCTAAACAAGCTTTCAATAATATGATTTTTGACACTAACATTCCTTGCAAAAGTAATTTACTTAATCACAACATTCCAAGTACTAATGAATACAATTTTTATGAAAACTCTATACCTAGTACTAGTAAACAATTCTATAATCCAGAAGCTGATGTAAATAGCATACCATTTTATGAAGAAACCATACCAGATAGTTCAGCTAGTAAACTAGCAGAGCAATATGAACAAGAGAATACAATCAGGATATTTGGAAAATTCAATAATAATGAAATAGAAGCTATTTTAGGCATGTGTGCTATGTCTCAAACTTGTCATATGCCAATGGTTATTACAGCAAATGTTATTGAAAAAAAAACAGAAGAAAACACTAATACTCATCAAAAGTAATTTTATTTTATTAGTATAATTTAATTAAGATCTAAGAGGATGTCATTTGCTCATTCCCATAGATTGTGTTGTCTCTGAATTACAATTAGACTCATGCCAAAATTTGTGTTCAGCGGTTTCGATTTTGTATTGTTAATTTTAATAAAATAGTTAATCAGCCTATTAATGAACTTAACAGTAAGAATATTATCTCTCCCTAAATTTTTTAATATTTAATTAATTATGATTTTTATGAGTGTGCAAAGTATTAAAATTTAAAAATGTTCATAAAAATTATTTAAAAATTAAAATTTTGTAAAAAAAACAATAAAAAAAACACAGATAATATTCTTGTTTTAATTTGTATGATATATCAATTCACTTTAATCTTTAACTGCTAAACATAAATATTGGTATTTTGTGCATGAATAAAACAAAGACAATATATGGTACAACACTTTAACACCCTTAAGTGACTTTATAAAGTCTTAAAAAATATCATTTTTAAGTGCAATAATTGATTGTTAGGACACCTTCAAATAATTTAAATGTATGAGCAAATACTTACTGATAATACATTAATATTTCAAAGTGAAATTTAATATTTCTTTATTAAAATTGTTTGCATTTGTTTAGTTTTATATTATTTTAATTGTAATGTATTATAATTTAATTATTAATATTTTCTTTTTATCAAAAATAACAGTGAGAATCTAAGACCTACAAAAAATCATGGTACAAATATGAATGAACCTTCAGTCACAGGAATAGTAAAGCTATCAGAAAAATCACTATTCAAACGCAGTACAAGTAACAGTCCTAAGCAATCATCAAAACGTCAAAAATCATCTTCTGCTACTGCATCTAATCATTTTTAAAAATGAATTATTTTAATCAGATATAATCTTTAAACTGTTATTAGAAATATTAATCATTTTAATTTATAGCAAATTGTCTTAATAATAATAATAATGTTTTTATTTTTAATTATGATGTAATACCTATAATAAATGACAGACCATTAGTTGGATTAAGTTTAGTTAAATTTTTTGATATTTATATAATTTATGATAATGTGAGTTTGAATTATTTGTGTTATCATTGATTAGACATAATAAATTAAATAAAATATTATATAAATATATTGGATTAATGGTAAGATTTGAAATTTCTGACATATTTTAATTCATAAATGTATTTGTACAATAATTATAATTTTTCATTACATTAATATGGAAATAAAAAAATTTAAGCTCCAAAAATGAATTCTGCTCAATGGCAAACTATATGCTCTTTATCAACAAATTAAACTCAATTCTCTAGTATGAATTAAAATAGCAGAATCTAATTAAAAGTTTATTTACATACTCTTTCTATTAGAATCTTAAAATTGGTATAAATGTTAACTGTTTGGTACAAGGCTATTATTGAAAATATGTTAAATAATATTACACATTTTATTTTATTAATTTGTTTTAAACCTTCAATATCCATAGGAAGGTACCTTATTTTTTATTTGTTAAAATATATGTTTTTATTGAATATAAAAATCATGTAATATTAAGACTAATTACTATGTTTTGTTGCAATTTGTTGTTTACATTTCAATTACAATTTGATTTGTTTGTAATTTAATATGTTTTTCTCTATCATTATAATTTATAAATGTACAAAGGAATAATTGTGCCATAATTTGTTATTAAATCAAGTATCATGTTAAATTTTTTATTTTACTAATTATTAAGAAACCATGTTAATTAAATTATAAATATAAATAAATATTAAATCATTGATGATGATATTAATATTTTAATATTGTATATGATATGATTATAATATAAATGTATGTTTTAATTAATGTTATAGACAACGCTCCTGTCTTTAAAGAAAATATTTGTTCATTTTTACTATGAATTTTTTTGTGCATAAATGAATACAAAAATATATTCTTGGATTTAAAAAGAAATTACTTATTATTTTTTGTACTTAATGGTTAATATGATTAACAATTTATTTGTTTATTTATGAACTGTACCCAAAAGTATAAATATACTTTTCACATAGATTCAGAGAATTTTAAATAATGTTTAATATTATTTGTGTTTAAAAATATTATGAGTATTTTCAATTGTTTTTTATACATTTTTAATTCCTCACTTAATTATATTAATTATGATTATTTTATATGCTGTTTAAGAATGAAATTATTAATAGTGCAATGGATGTAACTATAGAGTATGTCTAAGCAATCAATATTATTGTAATTAAAGCACATAATCAATAAAATTAACCACCTGTACATGTTTACAAAATTTAAACATGGTAAAAAAGCTCAAAATGATGGGTGAATGTAACAATAATTATTGTGTGAGATAAATCAACAGGATTATTGAGTTAATACTTCATTCAATATTAATATTAATAAAATTTGTTAGAATATAATCTAACACAGTATCATTACTATTTTTAAAGTTATTATTATTATTGTTTTTTTGATATCATAATAACTTACATAGAGAAAATAATTAATTAACATGATTATGTATATATATATATATATATATTAAGCCATAAGCTTGCATTATTGATGGACAGTAACAAATTAATTATTTATAAAATATGTTATATTATTTAAATAACAAAATAAATTAATAAACAGATCAAAATAAAACTTTACAATTTAAAATAAAAGCAATTTTAAGACTGAAATAAGAAAATATAACATGTGTAAAACTTAAATTATTTGTGAAAACAACCAATGATAAATGACTCTTTTAGCATTAATTTTCGAACGGTTATCATTTTTTTTTATATTGACTTGGCATAAAGTTTAAATACACAGGTCCTAAATAGTTGATGAAAGATTGACCAAAATATTGATAGAATATTTCACAGGAATATTGTACAGTCTATTTTACCTTTTAAAAATAAGCATAATGGCAATGTTTAATAGAGAAATTTAATTGGGAGAACACCCATCTCTATAATACTGTGCTGTAGTTCTTTGTAAAGAACACTTATTTAAACATACTGATGATAAATTTAAGCCATCCAAAAGTAAAATAAATTTTGTCATCTTAATTCTCAGATACCGAATGATTCAACTGAGCTAACATTAATTATGTAAAATTTCATTTGACTTACTACAATATTACTCGCTGAACCGATAATTGAAGAGCGGTTAGATATTTTTACAATAACAGGTATAAATAGTAGTAATCTTCTAATATTATTTTTAATAAGGAGTTAGCTAGAGCATCTATTTTTTACTCAAAAATACTCTAAAATCCATCTCAATACTTGATGAACTCATTCTATACCTATTTATTTATTTATTTATTTTTTCGGGCTTATCCGGCCGCCAAAACCATTCCGTTTCACAAGACACAACTAATTCTCCAACCATCTCTATTTATTGCCAGATCCTTCCAGTTTAATCCGCTTCTCAATTTTAAACCTATAATAAATAAATTTACTCATATCATGATTTTTAAAATAGTTTGAATGTGTGTGGGTGATGTACGTGTGCTTTTATCGTATGTACCTATTATAACTTCTTTAGTATAACTAAAAAAAACCTAACGTAACTAATTTTGTGTTATAGCCCTAGTTATACACATGATATGAGAAAGAGAATTGACCAAACAGGTATCGAACTTAAGATGAGTATCATCTTCATAGTGCATCTCGTATCTATTTGCTTTTATAGATATTTAAAAATTATAAATACTCATATAGTTTTAAAATTATATTTTTCTAACTGCATAGTTGTAACTTAAACCTTTTTCTCACATGAGTAACATTTTATTGCGTGTTTCAAAACCGTAAGTTATAAGTTTTTTTCAGTCCAAATCAACTGAAGTAGTGATTAATTTAAACACATTTTATACATTTCACGTTTCAGAGTTTTTGCAATAAAATGCAAGAATTTGTATTTTTATATACAATATCAGGGGCACACCTAGAATTTTTTTTTTGGGAAGGTGCTTAAACATTTTCTTATTTTCCTTACACAAGTAAACAAGACCACTGATATTTAAATAATCATTTTTTTTTTTCATTTTTTAACATGTCATATTATTATGTATTTAATATTTATAATTATATTTACGAGTATAACTAAATATTATGACAAATCTATTTAAAATTTAAGTTTTTTTGGGTACTTAAGAGCTGTTAATACTTTGGATTCTTTTTTTTTCTTGATGTATGTGTAAATTTGCCAGTCAATTTAAACGTGACTGTCCCATTATGTTTCGGAGGTAGATTTTGATTTATCGTAGTGTGAAAAACGATCTACCAGCCGTACTTTTACTAATTGGTAACGTTGTAAATATTATCAAAAGTTTAAATACTGATTCATATGTTTTTAAATCACATACATTTAAATCATCAATTGAGTTTAGTGGTAACGTATATAGTAATAGTTTTTGAATTTTTCATACCACGAATTCGAATTCTGCAATCTTTGTGACAGAAAAACGATTTTGTTGCATATCTTTTTCATAACATTTGAAAAGATTTTTTTTAACTTGTAAAAATATTTTCGTTTTTTTTTTTTTTTGGTGAGGGGGGCTTCAGTTTAAAAAGTCCTTTCTGGGTGTGCCACTGCACAATAAACATATTACATAATATTATTTGTAATTTTTGTTACTTTATTGTTGTCATTGGACTAAAATATCTATTTTTTAATACAAATTATTGGAAAATGTTCTTTCTATTTGAAAACTAGATCACAAAACATGATTTATCAATAATAAAAAAGTTATTACAATCATAGGCGTGCGCAGACTTTATTCGCAGGTTGTGCAATAAAAAAATAGGGCTCCTCACAAGAAAAAAAAATCACGCAACATATCTTGCAACCTAAGATAGGATAGAAAGTAAAGAATAAATAATTTATTTTAAATTTCTAAAAAAGATTCTAAGCCGTTAAACATTTTCTTCCATATATAGGACTCAATATTGGTACAATCTAAGTTTTTACAAATATGCTACTTAGCTTCTTTACATCCCTCAGAATCTAAAATCACACATAGTTTTACAATAAAATATTAAACAACGTACTGTAGTAAGTTTTAAAAGAATTAATGAACTAATGTCAATAAGAAATAAACAATTCACGAATTTTGGCAAAAAACATCAGTTCGTCCAAAATAGTTTTCAATTTTTTAAGGTAAAAATTTCTATTGTCTATCAGTAATGGTTGGCGGTAAAATCAAAAATAACAAAACTTAAATCTTACTTATCATTTTATCCAACCAGTGACATGGAACAATATTATTAATAATACCGTCCTATATGGCTATACGCCGGACTTAGCATATATTATTATTATAGTCTTTGATTACAAACCATAAAAACAATAATTATTATTCTATATACCTAAAGTTTTTATGTTGTAACATAGATAATAATATCTAAATGTTACTTTCTGGTTGGAAATGTTGGAAACTGTGATAACAAGATTTAATGATACGTCTATATTTTAGATTATCACGTAGGTCGTAAGAAAACCAAAAAAAAAATTTTTATATGTATTTTTTTAATATCATTAAATTTTAATAATATGATATTATAATAAATATGGGCCCTCACATGTAGCTGTAGACTATGCAGTGGCATACCCTGCATACCCTGTGCGCACGCCTATGATTACAATACCATGCTAAAAGTGAGATGACCTATACGAAACGTAGAGTTTATTGCTAATCAATAATGTAACTTTGCTACGACTATATTATATATACTCTGTTCAAATTAAATACATCACTTTCGTCAAATGGTAAATACAATTGCCTACTTTAATAAAATTCACAATAAGTTCAGAACTCCCATTTTTATTTAAAAATTTAATCATCTTATTGTTATAAAATAT